GATCATCAGAGAACCTAGAACTTCGCCTACTCCTGACGAATCTCCGTGAGAAGAGGAGAAGATAATCGTAACCCCCTACCGGATCCAGACCAAAGAGGTACTACTCCTACTACTACTAGAAGAGATAGCGTTAACAGTAGAGAATCTACCGGTAAGAAAGATATATATCCAAACTACCTCAATCAATCAAATAATCTAACAGAGATGTCTGATTATAACAATAGGTCTAGAGATAATAACGGAGAACCAACCTCAGAATACTACCAATGTAGAGGTTTTCCGACAGCGTCAGTCATACCGGTTGATAGAAGAAAATATTTAAAGGAAAGGAACAAAATACTGACTGATGATTCTGTTTCCAGTCCCAACAGAAGAGAGGTTCGAAAGGTACTATTACAGGATGATGGAAAACAGAAACTGGTTAGAACAAGTCACGAACCGAGCAACAGAGGAAGCTGTCAGAGCCCACCTAAACTACTGCCGAGAGGATTTCTCCGAAATGATAGCGTTGCAAGGACGGGACAATACATTGATCAGGACTCGAGGATGGGATCCCAGCTCGATCCCAGCATCCCATTAGAGCTGGTCTCTGGATATCCGTTGCGGATATCCGTTATCCGCTGGCGGATACCTGCCGTCTGTAGCGGATACCCGCCAGCGGATGCGGGTTCGGGTGCAGATGTGCCCTTTCCGCTGATTTTCCAGCGGATACCCGAGGCCGGAAGGGCAGATGGCCGGCTGGAAGGGTTTCCTTCCAGCCGTTGAGGTACATGTACCTCGTCGGCTGGAAGCAACTGCTGGAAGGATTTCCTTCCAGCCGCCTCCCTGGCCCTTTAAGGGGCAGGCATCCGTGGATACCCGCTCGGATACCCGCTGCGGCCGACGGATACCCACTAGCGGGTGCAGATGCGGATGCGGATGGCCATGTGGTCTGAAAAAGCAGCCGGATATCCGCATCCGCGCGGATATCCGGATGCGTAGCGACCAGCTCTAGATCCGATAGCTGTGAGCAAATTGTATCACCTATAATATTGCCGAACCTATCTGACCCTTCCCCAACTCACTCTTCCTGTCTACCAGAATCCCCGACCAAGAGAGGAACGACTACCCAACAGAAATATAGAGGCGAACCGCAATCGCGCCAACCCACTGAATCCCCACACCCAAAACAGAGCTCAAAGATTCAAAGAAGAAAATCAGAATCAACAAATAAATCCCCGATTGGAAAGAAGACACACAATGAGAGACCAACCTCAACGAGTACAAGAACAAATGGACAACAGAGAGAGATTCCAAGGACCAATTTGCACGAGGGGTCCAAGGAGGAATCAAGAATGGAGAACTTCAATATACTCCGAGATGGTGAGAATAGGTCGTTCCCTCGAAGGAACGTATCAACATCTCGAGGAAGGAAGAATTCATACGCAAAGAGGCAATCAGAATGCGCCTCCAGAGAACCATCGCAACAACCAACAAGGTTGGTAGACGATAAGGACAAAGATTACTTATTACAAATTATTTCTTCTGTAAACTCACTCATTAGCAAAACAGAAGTAATAAATGATAAATTCACTCCTTTACAAAAAAGATGTGATATCTCAAGTATGGCTCTGAAATACCTACTTACATTTATTAATACTGTCTTGCCAAAGAAAGTAGAATCTGAAGTTAAGGAAAGAATAGCCATGAGAATCTGGATAGAAGAAGAAGTCCTTTCTAAGTTAACAGAAGTGAGCAATAAAATAGATAAGCTAGAAGAACATAGCAAAGAAAGTAAGATTACCCCAAGAGAACAGGATAATAACTATGGAGAAAGAATAAATGAAAAAGAGAATAGAAGTGAAGTACAAATGAGTAGGATTGAGAAACTACATAAGGAATTAATAGAGCAAATGGAGGAAAATAACAAGTATACTCAAAGTAACACGGAAAAACTAGAACAATTAGAGAAAGATTCCAATAAACAAAAAGAAAACTTCAACAAACTAGACAGGAAAATACAAGATCAAGTAGAAGCACAATTTAAGACATTTGAGTCATATGCGGATAGCATTAATCTAAGTATGAACAAGTTAATATCCCAACTGGACAACAAGAAAGAATATGAAAATAGATTAATCAATTTAACAAATTCAGACAATAAATTATTACAATCATTGAAGCAAGAAGTAGGGAAATTAACAATAAGAAAAGAAGAAGAAGATAAACACATTACAATGGACAATAAAGAAGACATGGTCAAAAAAGACAAAGGGATTCCCCCACATATGATGACTTCCAATCAAGATAATAACAATCACAGAGAATACGGTAACAAAACCGCTAAAAAGCGCTGTAGCGCAGCGTAGTGGGCCCTTTTTTGGGGCCCACACGCGTAGCGTTAGCGGTGTCGTGGCGGAATCCTGCTACGCTACGCTAAGTGCTAACAGCAATTTCGCTGCGTTACGCTACACTAACCGCTACAGTTAGTGTAGCGGCCCACCGTTGGTATTATTGAAAATAGATATAACAGAAATATAAGCAGCAGTATACCAGGAGAGGAATTAGATTTCACAATCCAAAAAATGATACTAAATGGACTACCTAAAGTAACAGAATGGGAAACATTTGATGGAGATGGAGCTTATAATCATATAGATTTTATAGAATGGATAGATACACTGAAAGATGATCACAATATGCCTGATAAAATAATTACTTCTAGATTGAACTTACTACTTAAAGGAGCTGCCAACACATGGTATAGACAGAAGAAAGCAGAAGTAGGCAATAAGAATTGGGAAAGTTGGAAGAAACTGATAATGGAGAGATACACAACACCCAATTGGAAGAGAGAAGTCAAGAGTGCTATTAGAGGAGACAGATTCAGGATAGATGTAGAAGTCTCTGCAGAAGTTTGGGTAACTAGACAAGAAAAGAGGATTAGAGCAACTGAAAGAAATATTGACAAAGAAGGGATCATAGAAAAATTATTTCCATTACTAGACCACAATATAGACTACAAGATAAGAAGTGTCATGAAAGAAGGAGAAGATGTGACAGATGTGATAAATCACCTGGAAAATATTGTTACAGTAAAGAAAGCTAAGAAATTGAAAAATAATAGAGAGAACAGCAGATTTAACAAGAAACCATATAATGACAAAAACAATGATAACAAGAAAGATGAGAAAATAAACACGGAAGAAAATAGTAACAAAAATAAAGATAAGGAAAGATACTAATTTCAATTATGAAATTACCTGCTATGAGTGCGGCAAGAAAGGACACAAATCCACTAAATACCATGAAAGAGCTAAAAAGAATAATATTATGTTTATGAATAATGAAGATAGCAGATATGCAATGGATGATGATGACTCAGTAAGATCATTGCCTTCAGTAGACAATGAAGAAGAGTCAGAAAATGAGAATATAGGAGGTTATGCAATACTGAGTAAAGAAAATATTGAGCTTATGCAGGTGATGAAAATTCCAGACAAAAAAGATACAACTAAAAGTAGAATATTTGATCCCTCTAGAGAATAGAAAGAGGCAGTGATGCACTTACAAGGAGGTACAAATATAACTAACATCATATGTAATAAATTTAAAATTAAATGCCTACTGGACGGAGGAGCCTTTTGCTCAATTATAGGACCAAAGTTACTTAACATAATAGAACCTGAGTGGCAACAGAAAATACACCCAGTACAACATGACAATTTTTTCAGTTGCAATGGGAAACTAACACCATTAGGAGTTATAAAATTACCTATAATATTTCCTCATAACAAGGGGAATGTGAAGATAATAACAGAGTTTGTAATAATGAAAGACTATAAACTGAACTCTATATTATTAGGGAATGATTATATAATCAACTGTGGTATAGACATAATTAATAGTCAAGGAAGATACCTCACAATAGGAGGAGATACTAATACTAAATTTGAAATAGGAATAACCAAGAAAGTAGACATAGAAGCCCTAGAAATTAATATGTCAAAAGAAGATATAAATTTTCATACCACTATACAGGACAGCAGAATATGTGATGAGCTGGAAGAACAACAAGTAACTGAACTAAAGAAGATACTTATAACAAATAAAGGAGCTTTTGCAACAAGTGAAGAGCCATTTGGATGTATTAGAGGACATGAAGTGTCCATTAACCTAAATGTATCCAGACCCTATCCACCTAAACTAAGAAGATCTGCATACCCAGCTTCACCCAGGAGTAGAGAAGCAATACAACAACATGTCACAGACTTAGTAAAAATGAAAGTCTTAAGGAAAGTAGGACCTAATGAGAATGTGGAAGTAACCACTCCAGTCATTATAGCATGGCATAATAATAAATCACGCATGGTTGGAGATTTTAGAGCAATTAATGACTACACTATAGCAGATAGATACCCAATGCCAAAAATCAGTGAAGCACTGACACAACTACAGAATGCTAAATTTATAACATGTATGGATGTACTTAAAGGATTTCACCAGAATAAGATACACCCAGAAAGCAGGCATCTGATGAGGATTATATTACATATGGGTATTTATGAATATCAAAGAATGCCATTTGGTATTAAGAATGCACCATCACACTTCCAAAGAATGATGGATATTGAATTCAACAAGGAATTGAGAGAAGGGTGGCTAATAATATATATAGATGACATAATTATATTCTCTGAAGGATGGGAAGATCACTTGAAGAAATTAGACATAATATTGAAAAAAGTAATCCAGATGAACATGAAGATATCTATGAGTAAATGCCAATTTGGTTTCCAAGAACTGAAAGCCTTAGGTCACATAGTATCAGGATTAAGTATTGCTATTGATAAAAATAAAGTAGCGGCAGTACTACTGAAGAATATGCCACAAAATGTGAAAGAACTACAATCCTTCTTAGGGTTTGCAGGATATTATAGACAGCATATAAAAGATTTTGCTAAAATAAGTGGACCTTTATACAAAATATGTAGCCCTAATACCAGCTTTGAAATGACAGTAGACAGAGTGGCAGCATTTGATAAACTAAAAAACATGCTTACATCAGCACCCATATTATTTATGCCTGATCCAAACTCACCCTATAAATTATACGTAGATGCATGTATGGAAGGACTGGGAGCAGCACTTCACCAAGTTCAAATTAGAGATGAAATACCTAAAGAAGGAGTCATATGCTACATATCCAGGACATTGAAAGATAGTGAAACCCCCTTTAAATGACCAAGCCAACTAGAGTGCTTATACCTTATCCTGCTCTCTAATAGGTAAACTATATTACTACTTAGATGGTTG